CAGCAGCAGCAGCAGCAGCAGCAACAGCAGCAGCAACAACCAGATTCGACAATGGCACCGTCATTTTCACTATCATTTGCGACAAGGGACCCAGTCACCACCACGGCCCTCAGTACTTCACATACGGGAGAACTGGCCTCGGTTTCCCGTCTGAGTAGCGCAATACTGGAAGCTACTTCAGCCACATCTCCGCAGCCCTCAACCTCGCACTCAGAAATGCCTCACACGGTCACACCCAGACGGGTAAGCAAGTTAGCTCTTAGCCTACTACTTAATAAGCGGTGATGAGACCCAACACACAGGTCACTGCATTTCATATACATACTGTGCTCATGGCTAATGCAACAGGTCTTGTGCAGTGTGGAATGAAACCATCACAGACATTAAGAGTTTATTCGAAAAATTTAGACCGTGATAAAATGCTACCACCTCTGCATAACGATTTTTACCCACACGCTTTCGACATGCCCCAGTCAAGTTATCATGACAAGGGGCTTTCTATTATTCATGTTCAATTGAACGCCCATTATCATTCTTGCTCTCCATGAAGGAACATTTTCTTACATGTATAAGTGAATATATTGTATACAAAAAAAATATGTTCTACATGTTGCAGTAATAGGTATAATTTACGCCCAAGAGTGTAGAAATTGGTATTGGTAAGTGTTGGTTTAATGGAGTTCACTCAAATGGGCTATACGGAAATTATCTAGATTCATGTTTCGAGAAGGGAAAGGAAGTATTCCAATCTTTCCAAAGAAAATTGATCAGCCCCCTTATGCAAATCAACTACACTTCACATATATATATGATAGTTATATATTCTACCCGATATACTGAAACAAATTACTCTACAGCAACATGTTGCCTACTGTAGTCATGGTATCTTGAAACGAAAAGTGGATAACTATTTTGAGATCATAAATTTCGTTGTCTGTTACAAAATCTTCCTACATATCAGTAGAAATAGAATACAAATTTCTTCCTCAGCGTAGGCACGGAAGGCTGTTGTCACGCAGTTTTATAGACTCTATTGATGTTCCATTACGTATTCAACTCTCACCAAAATTTAAGTTTGCATCGTTGTTTATAATCGCGATTTTCTGCATGTGTATTCAGAGTGCAGGGCGTCTGGTTCCCCTAAACCTTCTTCACTGAATTTCCCGGTTAATACAGGTTCAACAAGGTGCAATGCATAGAAAGAAGTCGTTACACTTCACTTGAGGCAAGGTCCCCTTATATTATTGTTACTCACCATAACATTACAAACTCCATTAGACATGCATTCAGCGAAAATCAACAAAACCAGTCAAATAGAAATGTAAATATTTCCACATGTACATACATTGATAGGTAACGTGTTGATAAATGCGACCCCGCAGAATCAAACGCACAGAATATTAAGATGTCTATTGCAAGCAAAAGAGAGTCTAACAATTTTCATCAACAATATATGCCGTGTTTTCCGTTGGATCCTTGCACAGGAATTATTTTGAAGAACAACGTAGCTACCAGTTCATTTCACCGTAGGATATAACCATGGAATTTTCGTGGCTGAAAAAGGATATGCGGTCAGTTTGTGAAATTGGTGTGATTAGAAAATGTTGTCACAGTGAGGCCATTTTTAATTCCCTTACCAAGGATGTTACGTGGGTGCTGTGAAGGACACAGCACACACGTAATTTCTTAACGTGTATAAGCCTACACACCACCAAGAATGACGACTCCCACCCACGGGGAAAATTGACAACCAGCAACTGATTACGACAATTTAAATTTAAATTTAAATAGTTTAATCGCGATTTTAATTCAAATATAACAAACCTACTGCTAAAAAGGTGATAATTCCTGTGCCGCGTATAGCCTATTGGCATACTCAATTATTTTACATGTTTATGTTTTTATACGATGACGAATGCCGTCGTAACTAATACCTACGACAGTAAATACGAAATATACAACTGTGAACAACACAACTGTAAGTGAACATCAAACCAGCTTAATTAAAGTTGTATCCCTGGCTGGGACACAGCGGTTGGTCGAGCTGGAGCTGGTTCGTTGTGTTTCAAAGTATTGCAGCTGTAACTTAACTAGTTCATTTATTCACATAAAAATATACAAGGTTACAGTCGGATTACGACCAGTTGGTAAGAGAGTGTGCGCTGTCTAATAAAGTACAGGACTGACTGTTAAATTGTGGCAAGGTCTGCCCCAAACATGACACAGGTTGCCCCCATATTAATCAGCGCTCTAGTGCGGAGGAGGGTGCATATTTATACAAGTTTATAGTGTCATCCTCCGAGTTGTTTGTCCTGGAAACTCCCATATATTTCCTTGTGGTACAAAGAATAATAACCTTTGGAAGCTTTCTCCATCCCGGAACCCTGCAGTTGTATACTTGCACTTGTTATTGCCATCGCGGCCCGAGGGCATGGGGTCTTCAAATATTGACCCGGTTACTGGCGATAACTTACGTTGCCACCAAGTCTGAAATAACAACTATAGAGTTCCGTTTACACAAGTGTTACAACAGTATCCTGTTCCTAGGTATACACTATTAATGTGAGGAATGATGAATTATACAGTTTATGCTAATAATTAATTAATAAAATGTCCATTACATTTGATAGATTTCGTTTTCCTTATCTTTATTACATAATACCCTATCTTGGTATTTACGTCTACAACACTGTGTCTCCTGCCGTACGAAAAGTGCCTCTGATGATGGTTCTATTTAAACCGAAATATGTAAGGCAAGAATAATAAAAGTGATGTGACCTCTAATGCCTCACTGGACGGAAAAATTTTACTAACTTTCTAAATTAATAGTGCAGCGGACCATAATGATACAATTACAAACAATTAACAGTAGTGTTCTGACGCTCGTCGGAAAAGGGCGTTTGAACAGAAAGCCAAAATCAATCTTTTTTAAGTTAGGCAAAACAGCCGGAGAAGCGTACGAAATTTTGAAAAGTGTGTACGTTAGTGATTCTTTGAGTTGCTCGAACATTTTTCGATGGTTTACTGTATTTCATAACGGCAGGGAGGACATTGAATGCGCTACACTTGTATCAAAGCGGAAGACAGTCGCATTGAAAAAAAAAAAAAAAATTGACCGAAGACCTTGCATCAGACACATGTGTTACTGAAAAATTCATCTAGGAGCTCTTGGGAATACCAAAAACTACTGTGCATCAAATTTGACAGAGGATTTGGGCAAACGGAGGGTCTGTACCACACGCGCTGTCAGGTGATGAAAAACATGCCAGAGTGGAACACTGCAAAGACATGTTACGGTCGGCCCAAATTGGTACAAATATTACAAAATCGATTATTACTGGTGACGAGATATGGTGTATTCAATATGAGCCTCTCACAAGGCGGCAGAGTACAGCGTGGTTGGGCCCAAAGAAGCCGAAACCAAAGAAAGTGCGCATGCAAAAGAGTCGAATAAACACACTGCTAATCGTTTTCTTCAATTCCAAAGGAATGATTCACAAGGAATTTCTGCCAGAAGATCGAACAGTGAATTCTGATTACTATTTTGGAGTCCTCAATCGTGTTTGAGCGAGAATTCTTCGAATTGGATCTGCATATCGAGAGCAAGGTTCCTGGTCGCTCCTCCACGACAATGTCTCACCCCATAAATTGAAGATCGAACGCAATTTTTTGGCCAGAAAAGAGATCACATTCCTTGATAATTCTCAATATTCTCATAATTTTGCTCCAGCAGATTTCTGGCTGTTCCCAAAAGTTATGTTGGCGATGAAAGGAGACTGATACGACACCATCCAGAACATCCAAAGGTAATTTTACAGCAGTTCTAAATGCAATTCCCCAAAAGGAGTAAATTGACTATTTTCGAAAACTTTTCAATTGATTCCAGTTATGTAAAGATTCATAAGGCGAATATTTTAAATAAAAAGTGTAATATTCTAGAAATAATTCACGTCTTGTATTTTTAATGAAGAGAGTCCTAAAATTTCCTGCACACTGTGTATATTAGCCGTTGTATTTTTCTTTCAATTTATGAATTTTCCGTCTTGATTACTATGTTCGTATTGCAAGGTGGAAGAAATAACTTTCATACAATTTTCCAGAAGACTTATATGTCTGTGTGGGTTTCGAAATTAATTTCAAAGGGAATATTTTCATAGTTTCCTTAGTGTTCACTATTATACTTAAAATTAAAAATAACAATAATTCAATAATAAGGTAATATTTACATTAAGAAAAGAGAAATTTAAAATAATTATTAATTATGGGGTAAGTTCCTCAAGAAACATATTTTTGTAGTATATGGCATGAATAAATTAGTCTCTAATATGAACAAATTTGGCGAAATTTTGCAGAAGGATCCCGCCTTCAAGTGCGACGTAACGGGCTGCAGGAGATCATTCAGAACGCGACCAGAACAGAATGCTCACAAGAGGGGGCACAATAAGGAAGGTGCATTTGTTTGCGTGTATGAGGGCTGTCAGACGAGTTTCACACAACGGGATAACTTCAAAACTTCACAGCGGAGAAAGGCCGTTTGAATGCGATGTGTGTAAGATGAGCTTCGCCAGACAGCACAACCTGAAAAGACATAAGAAAACTCACGATTTTGAAGTAAGTTTCACTGAAGAAGGAATGGGCAGAATGTAGGGACAGAAATAAGCGAGGCATCGGAATGTGTAAAATGATTATGATCCCAGCGATACTATCCGTGTTTCCGCATGCGCAGTGATGTTAATCTTTCCTCCAGTTCCATGTCACTGGTTTCATTATACGTGTACTTAATAATTTAATTCGATTTTAATTGTTTATCTGATTCCTTTTAAATAAATTAACTAATAGCGAGGTATCAATATGAGTGTATGTTAACTAAAATTGCAGTAAATTTAAAAAACTACAGCTCTGCGGTGACCCCTTCTCCTATATTTCCACCGGCCGCACAAAATCTGACCTTTATCAGGCGAACGGATACGGCTCTATTTTAATTAAACAGGATCTGAATTTACACGGCACAATTATGGCAGAAGCTATTGTAGCAATTGTAACTAATAGCACGACTAAGACAGAGAGGGTACGATAGCCTAGTGGCACACATTTAGGAATACTTTGCAACCGGGCAATTACTTATTTCTTTTCACTTAATATTCAAAATTTCCTCACAATTTAGATTTTAACTATAGTTTAAATTTGAATGATAATTTGATTTTCATAACTTATATAGATCGTGACGGCATGTACCTATATTCCTATCGCCAAACATCGTGATCTCCTCCTGCCCAGGCAAGGCGGATGGCCCGGGTTCAGGCGAGAGACGTGATGACTGGGAAGGAAGTACAGTTGGAGACAGGTGCTGCCATGACAAATCCAGGGCTGGGATGAACTTCCATGTTGTTCCAGCTGCTGTCCGTATGGCGCATAATGAAAGCTGGCTGGACCAATCACATTCGGTGCTGACATCTGCACAGTAAGAATGAATACTAGTGATATAAACATAACGATGCATCATGTTTTGTACCATTAAACGAAATACTACAACAGAAGTTCTTTTCTGTTCTTGCAAGAAGGGTCACAGGCTGCAAAAACTCTATCACAAAAACAATGTCAATAATCTTGAATTGTAGAATATCTTCCTCATGGAGACTTTAATTATACCTGCACAGTATTATTATATTTAAAAATTATTTAATTATATACTATAATACCTAATGCCGGAAGGGCCTGAACTCAGGATGACTCAAAATTGTACAGAACTTTTCCCGTCTCTCTCTGTCTCTCTCTCTCTCCCACCCTCTCTCTCACTCTCTCTCGCTATCGCTGTACAGCCTTTCGGCCCGTAGGCGCTTGTTCAGATTTTGAATTCCATTCAAAGTAGTTATAAAGGACTTCTTTGCCGGTAGATCAGCCCATAGCAAAAGGCCGCTAACAATGACAATATAACCAAAGAATAAATACACAGAGACATAAATGAATCGAGTGGGATTCGAACCCATGATCCCTGTGTTCGAGAGAAAAGGCGGTTCTTGCCTTAGACCGCACGGCAACTCTGATCTTTTCAGTAAATTTCATAAGTTTAAATATTGTGACATGTTGCGCAATGGAAGGGAAGCCCTCCCTCCCCCAGCAGTGACGTCGTAGCTCTAACCACGGTGACGTAGACCCCCGGGCTACGTGGCACTACTTCCTACTGTGACGAGGCACGCAACGCCGGTGACGTAACACTGCGTGAGGCAACAGCGGTGCCGATTACGTAACAGGTAAGCGCTGCGAATGTACAAGGGAACTGCGCAGCCGGCGGAGTAAGTTAAAGTGTATCAGCTGCCGAAGACAGTTCTCCAGTCAGCAGTGAACTAGTTCTCAAGGCAGCAGTTACGAGTTACGGATGCGTGTGTGAGAATCAGTGATAGTTCGTGAAAACCGAGTAATAATTGGGAGTGTGTGATACAGTGACACTTATATAGCTCCCGTACTGTGAAACGTGTAGACTACTGACAATAGAGTGAATTGAATATTGCGAATAGGGTTATAAAGTGTGAAACATCGCAACTGTGTCATAAATAATTGTATCCGAGATTTCTAGGTTGGTAAATAAATCAATTAACAATCCGAATGGCGTCTTCAGTAACAAAACACGTTACAATATAAATGAGCAAAAATCAATTAGGAACCCTCTTCCCTTGCACAACATCCCGGGGAAGATACCAAGAACGGTGAGATGTAGCACTGTTACGAATCAGGTCTTATTTCAATTGCAGAATACAATTAAAAAAAATTACCCGCGCTCAATAATTATGTTTATCTGAATGCAGAGTATTTTGCATTTTCCTGATTCCACTGTAAAAAAAATCACAAAATTATCTCGCGATATATATGTATGTTCCCAGTGCGTCAAAAGCAATTACAATCTCAACAAACTAGTCTCCTCTGAATCCCCCTGTTTAAATGGTAAGTAAGAATTCATCGATATTAAAATATGAATTTGGCCGTCTTTTCTATAAACATTTGCCTCTGAAATTAAGGGAATTATGGTGGAAAAAGTAGGCACGCACGAAAGAGTTTCAGATGAATTAATATGGATATAAACAAAATATTACACAGGAATAGTGAGTTGAAATACATAGTCGAAACCTCGTAGCAACCTGTGAACACGGATCTGGAATAGACAAAATACACTTGTACTCGTAGTATTCACAACTCCTCTTATATTTATTTTCCTATTTCCGGGGTACGATATCAGGTTTAATGGGGAGCAAAAGACAGTATGCTTACTGTCGACCTTAGTGTGTACTGTTCCGTCTGCCAAAGAGCATACACTCCTAATACAAATTTAATTTGTACCTAAAGAAAGGGTAAATTTGCGTTTATAAGTGGCCGTAAAGGCCACAGGGGTCGAATGGTCGAGGTTCCCATATCTTCTAGAAGATCGGCTCACAGTTAACAGTAAGGATGTCAGAATTATGCACCGACCACCCTTTACCCCACCAAGAAAATTTCTGTTGTTCATTTATGTTAGAGGCTTAGTCAACCCCAGGGCGATAGTTCAGCTGGAAGGATGAGATAAATTGCAAAAAAGCAATGACCTCATCGCGAATCGAACTCGCGACCTTCCGGGGTTTAGCATAGTGCCTCAGCGAACTGCCTCGTGCCCCTTAATCTGCTCAAAACATTTATTACCTTACATAAGAGAGTGCCTTACAATACCGGACATTGAATTAGGTGCTTTTATTTGTCTAAATTCCACATGCCTCAAAAGCAAATCCGCTTACAATCTCTTAAGCTATTTCCATTGAATCGAGGGCTCACCTGAGGCTGAGTCCTGAGGCTCCTGATCCGAAAATGATGTCGAGGGTCTTGGGTTCATGGCCAGACACTGCACTACTCTCAGAGGGACATTCAGCAGACTGAGTCTGTGTGACGCGAGACTCACTCAGTGTGCGATGGGAGTTCGTCGCCAGGTGCCACGCAGTGAGGACGTGGAGCAAGGCCCCCTCTTTGACTGAGGTGGTGCAGTGTTCAGAGTTGGTAAAGTCGTGTTGATCGATGCTCTATCATCTTAGAATATCGTTTGTACGACAAACGCAGTGAATAAATGACTGATAGTTCAGTCAAGTAGTTTGATATTCCAAATAAAAAACTAACAAACAAAGAAAAATATTCCAAGCCGGATATGGGCCCGGATCAAACACCAATGTACAATATTTTCCCATAGCCCATCCACCACACTTAATACAAAATCAAGTTCCTTCTTTTTTTTTCCAAATATATTAAAACCAAAGAAGTCGACTACCTCCTAATATGCATTTGCCTCTAACGCAACCAAATCAATTAGCTGGATTCTATCAACCACAAAACCAGACACAGATGCCATCATTGTTTACAAACACAAGCTCAACCATGCAATGCAGAGGTGTAAATGAATATGAAGAGTGGAACAGTGATGAACAAACTGATGACCAAATCAATATAAACACTCTTGGCATACTGTAAGCAATAAACGTAAAATAATTCGACTTCAAACTCCTAAGGATATAAGAGAACAAATCAAAATAACAGACAGACTCCAATTACTTCCTGCTATAGACAACGATAAAAATTTTGCTGAAAGTAACCTGACAAATCAAAATAATGTCCATGACATCAGCCATAAACCGCACGCTATATACGAGTACATCTATGGTGTCACAAACTATAAACCTCTCATTAGCCACCGAAAAGGGAACCTATATTACTAGAGCAATGGCTGATAATATAATAAAAATTAATCCGAAAACTTCTGATACCTACAGAAAACTAGTCCATAGTCTAAGAGATGACCAAATCACTCACAATGCATACCGGTAGAAGGAAGTAAGGGACTTCAGGGCAGTTATACCAGGATTGCATCACACAATACCAAACTCTGAGATTAAAGATGAACTTGAAAAACAAGGCCATAAAATAAGGAACATTATTAATGATAAGCTAAGAGTGAATAAAGGCCCAGTCCCACTTCACTTCGTTGATTTAGAACCACAAGGAAATATTCAATATAGAATTTTTACAACATATCAGAATTAAAGTTGAACCACTGAAAACAGAGAAATATTGTACAGCGTACACGTTGCCAAGACTATGGCCATAGTAAGACATACTGCAGGAAACCCCACAACTGCGTAAAATGCGGAGGATCCCATGATATAAAAACTTGCAGAAAACCCAATAACACTCCAGCAAACTGTATATTGTGCAAAGGTGAACACCCAGCAATCTACAAGGGATGTACTTTATATCGTGATTTGGTAAATATAAGATGCAAAAATAATGGACATCCAACAATTAGGCAAAACCCAACAACTGTAAATCCACCACAAGTACGTGTACTACACCAGCAGAAAAATACTCATCAAAATGCTTCCTCATATGCACAAGTTCTAGCAGGAATACCAAATAACAAATGAAGTATAAATGGTAATAAAGAGTTATCCCAAAAACTGACCGACTTCCTTGGCGAATTCAAGAACATGTTTACTCAACTCTTAAACCAAAATAATATGATTTTTACCAATCCCAAAAAACTGACCGACTTCCTGGGCGAATTCAAGAACATGTTTACTCAACTCTTAAACAAAAATAGTATGATTTTTACCATGCTAACTACAGTAATAAATAGAATACGTGTAGCAAAGAAACGGCTTCCTCAATAACAGTTGCTGCATGGAATGCCAACGGACTAAAAAACCATATGCTGGAATTTGCGTATTTCTTAAACGTCGACAAATTTGATATCTTATTGATCTCAGAAATCCATGCAACCCAACAAACTGTAATAAAAATACCTTACTACCGCTTGGCCCGCGATTTCTAGCGGCAGTTGACTGGAATGCTAACATACAGCATGGGGATGTAGATTAATCACACCTAAAGGCCGAGATCTACATGAAGTAATTCATGAATACAATCTGAATACCATAACAACCGGAGAGCCCACCTACTGGCCGGCAGACTTAAACAAAATCCTGGATCTGTTGGACTTTGTTGTAACAAAAGTTATATCTAACGTTCATTACACCATTGAATCGAACATTGGCCTATCATCTCACCACAGTTCCATAATCATAACTATCAGTATATATATCATATGGAAAAAGGAAATACCCAAGTTTTGCACTAGAGGAACTAACTGGGAGTTATTTCGATATATAATAAGCGAAAACATCAGGCTTGGCCATCGAATGAAAGAGAATGGTGAAACTGAAGAAGCTATACAATACCTAAGGCAGAATACCATAAATGCCTCGTGGAAAGCTACTCCCTCAATACATAAAATGAAGCACAGATAACAAAACAAACCACTCCACATCAGACAACTGATTTCAGAGACAAGAAGAGCTAGACGTATCTGGCTAAGAACCAGAAATCCGTTAGACAAGACAAACGTAAATAGATTAAACTATAACCTCACGAGAGCTCTACAAGAGGCA